GCCCTTCTTGTAGATAGGTGTCACATTGGCAAGCCTCCAGTCGTCTGGGACCTCCCCTGTTAACCAGGACTGCTGATAAAGGATGGAGAGTGGCCTGGCAAGCTCCTCCGCCAGCTCTCTCAGTACTCTCGGGTGGATGCCATCAGGCCCCATAGACTTGTGGGTGTCCAGGTGGTTTAGCATGTCCTTGACTGCTTCCTCCTGGATTATGAGGAGTATATTGTGCTCTCCACCCTCATGTTCCAGCTCAGGAGGCTGAATACCCTGCAGATACCTGGACTGGCTATTAAAGTCTGAGGCAAAGAAGGCATTAAGTACCTCAGCCTTTCCCTCATCCTTGGTGACAGTGTTCCCCGCCATATCCAGTAAGGGATGGAGATTCTACTTGCCTCTCTTTTTGCTGTTAATATGTTTGTAAAAACACTTTTTGTTATCCTTTATGACTGTGGCCAGCTTGAGTTCTAGCTGGGCTTTTGCCTTTCTAATTTTGTCTCTGCATGACCTAACAAGATCCTTGTACTCTTCGTGAGTTGCCTGCCCCTTCTTCCAGAGGTGATAAACTCTCCTCTTCTCCCTGAGTCCCAGCAAAATCTCCCTGTTCAGCCAGGCCAGTCGCCTTCCCCGCCAGCTCTTCTTACGGCACATGGGGACCGCCTGCTCCTGTGCCTTTAAGATTTCCTTCTTGAAGACTGTCCAGCCTTCCTGGACCCAAATATATACGTAAGAAATAGAAAAATAGTGTTTACTAATTTTCCCTTGCAATGAACTATCTTGCCATTACTTTGTTATTCAGTTTTTTATGACAGAAATATTCATGACAAGTTACTAGGACGTGATTTGACAGGAAGTATATGTTGGATATACAGTTCTTGTTTTACAGCGGTGACCTTTTTGGCTCCACAAAGACTGTTGTGTTAACCCTCCATCCCCCTCTTATATACATTCCTAGGATACAAAAGAATAAATAAGCGTAGAATCACCTCTGATCAGAATGACACGGCTTTAATTGCTTTCTGCTCTAAAAAGCCAAAGATTTTGAAAGTGGAAATAGTTGGAAAGGTGTTAAAAAGAAGAGGCCGGGGACAAAACAGAAACTTGCCACTTGTGTGATGAATTGGGATGTGTGGCCACATGACTGTATGCTTCCACCTATGTTTGGTTCTGCAGAATGCAGTAATATATATACATCTATAGGCTAGTGTTTCTTGTGAATTGGAGAAATTTGAATCCCTTGCCTACTGTCATACAGAGTAATAGAAACAAGTTATTCTACAAAACAGATGATGTGGTGGTTAGAAGCTTTGTTAAATGTGCATGTGTGGTGTCATTTTTCTTCATATTGTGAAGTGTGTACTTAGAGGCAGCTGTAACTCTCAGAGCCCCATCTCTGTGGAAAGTAGTACAGCTGAGTGCTGTTTTGTATAAAGACTTAAGAGTCAGTTGCTTGATCTTCCTAGAGCTCTTTTTGGAGCTTAAACTTTGTAACTTTGTGAGCTATGTATGATTTCTGTGACCTAATTAAACTGCCATCCATATGTCCGCTCCCTGATTCAGTTAGTCCTTGTTTTTTTGTATAGCTAAGCTTTCCCATTGTATGCTGCATGGGAGTTATAATTGCTTTTTATTGATATGCATTCTGTAGCATTTTTCTAAGTCTATAATGTCAAGATAGCAAAAGGCATGAGTTAACTTGCAGTACTGCTAAAACTCCTGTTGAAACATTAGTGAATCAAGAATCTGCCATCTTTTGTCTCCAAAAAACCCCACCTGTATCTTGTCAGCCTCTGGTTCAGCTTCAACAATGTTTCTGTTTCTTCAACTGATAAAAAACATTAAGATTTCTGCCCGCTGTCTTTAGTCCTCTGTCCTGGCAGACATTGATCTGATCTGTGTGTGCAGAAAAGTTATCCAAGACATTTCAGTAGGAGTTCTGACTTCCCTTGTTTGCTTTTTTTGGCCTTGTTTTGGGACTCTATCCAACGCAAAACCTATTGAATTCAAGAATATGACTGTTTCCACCTTTGTTCTATGGTGTCTTTCATGGTGCAGATGGGTAACAGAAGGTTGTTTAGAAATAGGCATTTTTAATTTTTCTGGTTCCTGTATCTCTGTTAACACTTACCAGCTATTTCTTTAATTAAATTTTCTGTCATGAAGTTTCATCTCTATTAATATTACAAAGCCTGTTATTTCTGGTTTTCTGCTGTTAGTCTTAGTGTTTTGTAAACATGTTTTAGGATAATTTGATGAAAACTCTTCTGTTTTTACCCTTTACTGACTTGGATTAACATTCTTTGCTCATAAAACTGGACTTTTTCTTACTCTTAAACGTTCAGGAGGTGTAAACTATTACAATATGTTTATATATTTAATACAGGTATGTCTAAATTTACTGTAGAATTTGAGGACTGAATTAAAAATTAAATGCTTAAACCTGGCAGCAGCAGCAAAATTTGCAGTTGTGAGAAGATTATTACAGATGCCATCTTCCAAATTGAATTTTGCATCAGCCCCAGGCAATCAAATTACAGTGTATTTTACTATGCAGTCTCTTCTGTCTTGGTATGAAAATTAAACTGTTTGCCTTCTTAGCAAAGATTGCCTTCAAACTACCTATGTGCAGCTGTAAAGCCCAGACCGAACTCCTTCTGTCCACAGACCTATCTGATCACTGAACAGGTAAAAACATACTCAAACAATAGAATGTTGCTTAATGCACATCACCAATTCCCCTTGTTCTCACAGGGAATTATTTCCATGTCCATGATTAGTTAGAATTTTTCTCTATTCTTTTCCATACCTTGGTTCTGTGAAAAAGATTCACAGCACAATCCCAGGTAGCTATATATGTGAACTCTCTCTGTGTGTATATGTATAAAAAAATAAGAAAAATTGTTGTGTCTCCTTGTATCTGATCACCTTTAAAACAGCAAGACTATGAATTTTACATTTTTCTGTATTTTTTTTCTATTTTCTCCATTCCTCTGTAGAGTCTCTCTACCTAGTTATTCTTAGTTTGGTGCTGGTCGGTGCACTTATTTTCCTTTGTTGTCCTTCTATTTGGCAATAAGTACAATGCTTTGACCTTTTATTCTTGATTTCAGAGAAATCACGCATTTTCCAAGTCTTCTATATACAAACATAAAGTTTAATTACAAAACATTTCTTGAAAATAATGCATTCTGGATTTTTAGGGAAAATAGTATGGGTGTGCAGTAATTAGGAAATGGAGAAGACAGGAATTTTATTTAAGATCTTGGGTTTATTCAAGAAATCTGGGAATTTGAAGATGAGTAGATTTTTTGATATGTTGGTCTTGGGATGTTCTGCTTCAGACATCTCAAAGAGATCAGTTTGGTTTTGTGCAATGTTAAAACCCGTACTGATTAATATCAGCATCTATTAACTAAAGTAAACTCTTGGATAGCTCTACCAGAATTCTTAGAAAAAAATTTGAATCAGTAATCTTACTATTTCAGAGAGATGGACTTTTAGTCAGTACCATATTTTACTGACAATATGAAACCATAAATTTGGAAAAATTGTTTATTAAAACTTTCTTCTAGTTAGTCCTCTTATATAAGGAACTGACAGGAATATACAAAATATATCCATTTGACATTCAGATTTTAAATGTACTAAAATTGTTACTAGATGTTAGTTTTGGTTTCTGGTCAGTTTTGGTTTTCTTATTTTTTTATCTCATTCAGGCCCATTTCAGAAGCAAAAGAAACCTCAAAACAAATGACAAAAACAGCGTGACAATATTTAAATTCTCAAACATGCAATTTTATTTTCTGATATTTCATGATTATTTTTTGTCCTTCTATTTGGAAAGCCATACAATTTAAAATGAAAGTGTGGTATACAGTGTCATGTAAACATTTAATACTTGAAAGTGATGGTCAAATTAAAAGAAAATTCCAGTTGCTAATTAAGATTTCTTTAAGATTCAGTTAAATTAATGGAATAGTAAAAGTGTTGAAATGTACATTATTTAAGAAGACTTTATCCTGAATTCCTTTAGTTGTAAATAGTTATTTTACAGTGGCAGCATGCAACAACAATAGTCACAATTAATCTTAAGTTTTTGTTTGACTTTGTCTATTTATGTAATAGCATTTTACCTCACTGGTATTAAGTGTGTGTTAGGATTTCTCTGTCCTTAACCAAAGTTATTCAGAAAATCAGAAAGTCTAATTTAATGAGGTCTGTCTTTCTTTGCTGTAAGGACATATGACATAGAATGAACAAGAAAGCTGCCCAGTTTAAGTGTTACTTTCACATATTCTTTCTCCAGATTGCTATATGAAGCTGTACATAATATAAACACATATTCTTGTCTCTAGTTAGTCACATTATAGTTAATGACCATATGGTCATTATGGTATAAGATCTACTGTCTGTTGTATTTATATTCCTCAAGCATATTGTTCCTTCAACTTCACAGTGTGTTAAACTATTTCAAAGGGAAAAAAATCCTTTCCCTCTTGTTTCTGGTTGTCCTATCAAGTGTAACCTTGGACCCTTATAGAGCAATTAGACCAGCCTCTATCCCCTCCTTTGTAATGAGGTTTCTTGCATTTCTGAGTCTATAACCCTTTAGTCTTCCCTAATGGGACATCATTATTCTGAAAGAAACAATGTAAATGTAAATGAATATTCTCATTAACGAGTCACAGAGAAACCTTTAGTGGTAGCGCTGTGGTAATTCTGCTTGTTATTTCTCTGGTATTCCATGCAGATTTTTTTTTTTTATAATTCATTATTAGTATTCAAAATTACTTCTTCTTTAATTCTGCATGTCTTTCATAATCCAGTGTTCCAACTAGTTCAACCATGTCCTTGTTTTATTCTCCAGGAACCACCTGTGAAACGTTCAAGGTCTCTGTCCCCAAAGAGCTCTTTTAGAAAGTCAGAGGAGCTAAGGAAGCTTGAAATAGCTGAAAGGAAGATTGAAAATTTAGAGAAGACACTACAGCTAAAGGTGAACATGAAAAAAATAAAAATTAAAAACCCCCTTTTAGCCATAAGCTTGCATAGATAAAGATATAACAAAATAAAGAGACATTTTAGAAATGCAAAATGCACATATCGTTATGGACTCTAAGTGTATTAGCCTAAGAAAGCACTCTTGGTTAGTTTGCTGTTTTCCTTTACTGCTAGGCATCTTGTGTTTGGTACTCCTGCAGTCCTATGGAAGCCTAATCCGAGCTGTCATCAATACGTGCTTGTTAAATACATTTTCAAAAGTTGTGTCTGAGAATATATACTCTGAGAAATTAATGTATTCCTATAGAAATAAAGTGAAGCAGAAAGTACAACGAAATTTTTCTTTTTTTCTAACAGAGAAGCCAATATTTTAAAATGCGAAGTCAATTACTTGGAACAGATTTACCCTTTGTATTCTTAGAACTTACGGCTCGGAAGTTGTTCTAACAAATGCTGTAACCCACCCTCAACAAACACCACCACACCCACCTCCCTCTCCCCCCACGCCCCGGCCTTGGTAGAAGAACATAATTGGGCATGTATTACAACTTCCCTTTTATAGATTTTTGTTGGTTTGGCTTTGTGGGGGTTTTTTTACATCAAAAGCAGTATCTTTTAAATTACCTATTGTTTTAAAAATGCAAAACTCAGACATGGAGTCATATTTCTTAACATTTACGATTACCTTTAGTAACGTTTAAGTGTCTTGCACATAAAGCAGAAGTATAGTCGGGGATGAAGTCCAAGAGACCCAAGTCATGTCCTTGTTCCTCCCATCTCCGAAACAGATACTCCTCTCCTCTCCCTCTCCTCTCCCTCTCCTCTCCTGCTTTCATTTTTCTCATCTTTCATCTTCTCCTCCCTCCTCTCTCCTCTGTCTTCTCTCTGTCCCCTCTCCTCTCTTTTACCTTCTTTTTTGTTGTTGCTTATGTTTGTTCAGAATTAGGGAATTTGAAAGATATTTTCAGTATATGTAGCCTAAAGCAGAACTGGTTATATTGAACATGCTGTGATAGATGTCAGATAAGTAGAAGAAAATTGGGGAGCCCTACAAACCATAGTTCTGAGCTCCTGCCTCATGCAAAAAGATGCTTTTATGTGATAAATCAATTTTAGAAAAAATATGAGTCGTAATTATGTTTTAGCACAAATACAAAAGTTCATCACCCTCTATACTTGACAGAGTTTGTCTTAACACATGTGGAGTATATGAACAGGAAAGAGGATTTAGACTTCAAATTCGGCCTTACAGGCCATCTTACTCCTTGTTACTGGGAGTCAGAAGATTAATTTTGTTTTGTTTTTCCTCTCTGTTGAGAAACCTAAGGCATATCCTACCAGCTCTACCTGAGGACTGGCCTTTGGCAAGCCTCCTATTTGTTACTCTTAGTTGGCCTGCCAGACACTGATAATACAGATTATTCTGGCACTGTGGACTGTCCCAGCTGTGTCCCCTCCCAATTTCTTGTGTGCGCCCATGCTACTTGCTGGTGGGGTGATGTGAGAAGGAGAAAAGGCCTTGTTGTGTAAGCACTGCTCAGTAGTAACAAAACTATCTCTATACTGTCAGCACTGTTTTCAGCACGGATCCAAAACATAGCCCCATACTAGCTACTATGAAGAAAATTAACTCTATTCCAGACAAAACCAGCAAAAGAAGAGAAAGGATTGTTATTCTCTCTGCATGACCTCATAACATAATTTTTACCATTCACCATACTGCCTTTGTCATTTCTTCTGTTTCATCTTAAAGCATAGTTTAGTAATCTGTGCAGCTTTATTATGTTGTAAGTGTGGGATCTCTATTTATGACAGCTGTTAATCCATGAGGTCTTTAAGGACTAAGTCATATCTCCCCATGAAACTGAATATATGAACTCCTTGCATTTTTCCTAGGAAACCGACTTGGCTTCTTTTGTAGAATGCTTTAATTGATTGAAAAGAAGCTGTAGAGGCCCGGGTCAACATATTAAACACTGTTGTGGCACTACATTCAGAATGCAATTGCCAGCATGACAGTGAACTCAGCTGTCATAACATTAACATCAGAATAATTCTATTGGTATTGTATGATTCCTTATATTAACCTCCTCTCAGGCATTGCTTCCAACAAAGAATAATGCATGTGATCAACGTTTTTGAAACTGGCATTTGCATTATTGCCTCCTCAAGCAAAGTGTTGAATATATGATTACTTGAAATATACTTCCTCAGAAAAATGCTTGCTCTATCAATAAACATACTGGTGATGCATATCTTGAAGATGAAATTGTGGCTTTATCCATCAGTCCTTTTGAAAAATTGGTTAGAATTTAAAAAAAAAAAGATGAACAGCTTTTTTTATGGGATTGTCAGGAACAGGAATATTTGATGCCCCAATCATTATTACAAAGGAAAGGAAAAAGGCAAGGTCCCATTCAGTTTTTTCTAGTTCTCCTCAGCCTACTAATTTCTGGCCACGTAAAGTTAGCCCTTACTGTCTTTATTGCTAATATAAATAGGATAATCATGTAAATTTGGAGTGTCCATAGTTTTGGTACAGAATCATCTTAATTTCTGCACTCCAGGACTGTTGTGGTTTAACCCCAGCCACTAAATAAACCCCACACAGCTGCTCATCACCACCCCCCCACACACAACCCCAGTGGGATGAGGGAGAGAATCAGAAGAGTAAGAGTAAGTGAGAAAACTCATGGGTTGAGATAAAGACAGTTTAACAAGTAAAGCAAAAGCCACGCACAAGCAAAGCAAAACAAGGAATTCATTCACCACTCCCCATGGACAGGCAGGTGTTCAGCCATCTCCAGGGAAGCAGGGCTGCATCACGTGTAACAGTTACTTGGGAAGACAAAATGCCATCACTCCGTATGTCCACCCCTTCCTTCTTCTTCCCCCAGCTTTATATGCTGAGCATGTTGTCATATGGTATGGAATATCCTTTGGTCAGTTGGGGTCAGCTGTCCCGGCTGTGTCCCTTCCCAGCTTCTTGTGCACCCCCAGCCAACTCGCTGTTGAGGCAGTATAAGAAGCAGAAAAGGCCTTGGCTCTGTGCAAGCACTGCTCAGCAATAATGAAACATCCCTATATTATCAACAGTTTTCAACACAAATCCAAAACACAGCCCCATACTAGCTACTATGAAGGAAAATTAAGTCTATCCCAAACCAAAACCAGCACAAGGACATACTGAAAAGTAACAGAGCATGCCTGATTGCACCCTTTTTAGGGAAGATAATGTCAAAGTGAATAATAATATTTAATGGATTTTGAATAACAAATTATGGAGCTGGTACTTAGAATGTTCTGAAGCATAAGTACATCAATCTACTGTTGGTCTTTAAGAAGTGGCTAGGAGTTTGGTTGTTGAGAGTTAGATGTTTTATATGAACTAAGAATATGTTCTCCCTTATTATCTTTCTAGAACTGCAATCCCTGATGTAGCCTAGAGGAGATATTCCTGGCTTTAACTGGCAAATTTTCAAAAGCAATAAATCTTCCCTTTGAGTTTTCTCATCCTTTTTTGTTTAAAGTTCTAAAATTGTGGAGAATTAGAAATAGAATATGTGGATCAGTCTTTAGGACCACCTTAATACTTGTTTATGAGAGGGTGGGCACACTGCTATATTTAGTTTAGATTTCATATATAATACTGTTCCAGGTATGGTGTTCAGATGCTGAAAATAATATTAATATTGTGGCTTTTCCATAGAACCATAGAATCTTGGAAGGGACCTTTAAAGGTCAATAACCTTTAAAAAAAGGTTACAAAAAGTTAAGTTCCACTTAAATACTTGTGGAAAAAACTATTTTGGTCAGGAAAAACCTAATGGTCTGGTTCCTCACTTCTTGTCAGCCTAAGAAGAGTAGTCAAAGAATTGAATCAGTATATTTTTTAAATTCAATTTTTACTGTAACTAAGCTGTTGCAGGTCAATTTAAAAAACTTTTGAAGTAGTGATTAGAACCTTTTGGCTTGTCTGAGCTCTTTGCAAATAACAAAATGACTTTTTTTCACAGGCAGTTGGGTTCTTCCTCCTGCAGACTGGAATTTTTGTCTTGTGTTATGGCATGGGAAGCACTATAGAATTACAGTGGAGAGCTGGAGAATAACCTAGAAATCCAGCACTGCTAGAGATGGTTGTTCTGTCCCATTTCTGTCAATATATGGAAAACTGTATACAAGACAGTTTAATTATTAAAAAATATAACATAATTCAATCAGAGAGAGATGGAACTGAGATAATGGAAATTGGCATTTTTATTACTTCATCAATAAGTTTATTACATAATGTATTTAATAAATTTATTAATTTATTAGTACATATCAATAAATCTATTACATTTAAAGTTCTGAAGTGCTTAATAATTCAATAAAAGAGAGTGATTAGGATAGTTAATTGCCTAATTTCTATTTCTGTGAGAGCAGAGCAACTGATAAGGGAAGGGAATAACTGAAACAGAATGGATAATAGAACAGGGTAAGCAATAATGAAAAATGTAGATTCATAAATAGGAAAGGCCAAATTCTACACTTGGTTGCATCTCTGAAAGGGCATTGACACTAATAAACTTCTGAGGATTTATGCTGAAAACATTATTTTCCAGTACCTTGCCAGACCTGATCAGTTTTGACTAGCACCATCAAACAATCTCAGAACAATGGTTTCATGAACTTCTCAGGAAAACACAGCATCTATAATCAGATTCTTATAAAAATTTCATGTTGTAGTGGCAAGCAAAGCTTGATGATAGTCTCTATGTCTTTTGTCATAAATTTCTTTTGCTATTTGTGTGATTGTTTTTAATACCATTATAGTATTGATATTGCCACATAAAACCAGTCAAAAGTACTTCTTAAGCAATTCTAAATTTAGAAATATGTCTGGTTTAGAGATTGTTTCAGAAAAAATAGCAACACCACTTTGGAAAAATATTTAACACTAAGGTCAGTTTGGTAGCTGCTTGTGTTCCTAAACCTGCTTTTTGTTTTGCCTGAATTGCTTCCAGAAAACTTCTGAATTTTATATATAGAAGCATCTGGAGTTTTAGCTGGTATCTTTCAGTTTTGGTTATGCATCGTGAAAACTGGGCTACATTTAAAAGCCAAGCTTAGTCTATGTTCTGTGTAGTTAGCACTACTGTAGAAACCCTTGCCATGTTTTTATAGTTTTATAGTTTTGTATGTTTTATAGTAAGATTTAATTATTATTGCTTGCAGCTTAGACTATTGGTGTGTCTTATTCATTGACTAATGCTGAAAAGACCTTCTTGCCTATAAGCAGTAAATGCATGCAAATAAAGTATTGTGATTTATTTAGAGGTTAAGGAACATGTTCTGTAGGTGCCCTACAAGCAGAGCTTCCATTGAACTGGAGATGAAGCACTGAGGGCAAATTTTACTACAGGATAACGTCTGGTGAATTTTTTACTGCTGTATGCCAGAATTTGACTTGGTTTATGCTGTGGAATGTCCTCCTCTTAATGTTCATTTTTTTCAAAGCACAGTATTGTCACGTAGGAAAATCTTTTTTAAAACTTGCATGACATTCTCGTGTAATATAAATCAAGGTATATCTTACTTTTCCTTCTGTAAAAAGAGAGTACATTTTTTTCATATGGTTTTGATTATATAAAAGCTATTGCAAAAAAATGTTTTTATTTTTTGTTTGTTACATAACTAGAGGACAAAGTCTGGGTATTGCAGGTTTATATACATTTACAGAAATAAATTAATATATGAGGAAATCCTGAAGCCATTTTAAATTAGGGGTTTTTGATGTGGACTTCAAAAATGCATAGATTAGTTTTCCATGGGGGAAAAAAAGTAAGGAGGAAAAGACAGTGCCAATAATCCTTTTTCAGTCTTTGTATTTTTAGGTGTGTTAGGCCAATGCACTCACAAGATGAAACCTAACATTTTGGTAGTAAATTTTTTAAAACTTCTCAGTAACATAAAAAAAAAATTAAGTAAATTTTGCAAAATTAGCAAAATTTGCCAAGATAGCAATAAGAAAAATTTGATCTGAGGAATTTGATTCCTGACCTTTCTATTTAGATTTCTGAGGGTCTTAATAGGTACTTAAACAGAACTTTTGTTTCATGTGATCTGTATGAATGTCTCTCACATTTTACCCTACTCTAATTTTGTTTTTCTGGTGCTATATAGACTCGAGAAACTGATGAGCTAAGAGCAGCCCATGAAAAACACAAAGAGAGGCTGCAGATGTTACAGACCAACTACAGAGCTCTAAAAGAGCAATTAAAGCAGTGGGAAGAGGGTGATAGCAGGTAAGTTACATAGCTCATTAAAAATGTTTCCCTTACACAAGAAATTTGAACAGAACTATTGTATAGGTATTCAAAAGATAACTTGATTTGAAGAAAGAAACTACTATGTGTTGATGAAGACTTTATCCTTTGTTAAAGCCAAATACATGGCATACCCCTCTATGAGAAAAATTACAGTTGAAACCAAGAGTAAAATGTATTGAGCTGACACCTTGACTTATTTCATTTAGGTTCTCATTGTGAGCCTGAGTATTGGACAAAGGTCTGCTAGGGCTGCTTATTTATGCTTGTCTAATTCCCCAGTTGATTAATTTGTTAGCTGTGTATCTTTTTAATTTTCTATAATAGAAAAATTGCTCCCTATGTTTCAAATAGTTTTAAAAAATAATTTTATTCATTAAACAATATAGAAATAACAGCCTCTCTAACTGCAATGCTTCAGATATTAACTGAAGCTAATCCTAAAATCCCCTTCTTAATAGGAAAAAAGAGTATGTGCATGAAAAGCAGGATGTTTTAATCTTAAATTACTATAAAATCAATTTTTTCTGATCATTCCACAAAAATATTGCAATAATATCTTTATTAATAGAAAGCAGAAAGACTTTACAACATCAAAATTTAAATAATGAATATTTTATGTGTAATTCCCCCTTAAATTCTATACAGAACAGTGAAAATTTTATGCAGGATTTCTTTTTTTTTAAGGTCTTAGTAGAGAACTTGGATTTTTGGTAAAGTAACACATTTGGAGGTATGAAGGCATTTCTTATCATTTCAGTTTTCAGACACTGCTGAGGTACAGTTTTTCAGGCCCTATTTCAAGAAAGTAATTTGAGCAGGTCCTTACATCCTGGTGGCTTTAGTAGGACTTCAGCATGCGCCCACAGTTCAGTAAACATATGTGTTTTACTAAAAATAATTATTTTTGTAATTAGAGCAATACTGACTAATCTTGACACAAACATTGTAACTCTGTCTAACCGAAATGAGAGTTACAGAAATTGCTGTAGAACTGGTAGTCCACGGTGACATAAAGGGTCCTACTGTGAATGATAAACTATCCCTCATCTATAAATTGGCCTATGCTTTGGCCTATCTGAGTAGATTTGCATTGGTTTGTAATACTATGATATTTCCTTAACAATGATTTGTCTTTTAAAAAGAAAAAAAAAGTGTGGATTAAAATAATGGTAAGGTACACATCTGCTATGGGCATTGGTAGCACAAGAAGACTTTTTAAAATATCAAAGCATAAATAACAGATTTGTTTAAATTAGAATGAAAAGGTTTTGTTTATTTAGGAAAAACATGGATGATTTTATCTTCTAACTCACTGTTTTAAATTCAGTACAAGCTGGAAATGCCTGAAACTTACTGGATGATAGTTACTTTATGCAATGAAAGGATTTAATTCTGTGTCTAAAGCTACATAGGCATTCATGGTCCACCAAGAGGCCAAGGCTGAAATAATACAAAAATTCAACCTAGATAAAGAAAGTAAAATCAAACTTGATATACAGTAAAGCACTGAGTGTTCTGGTTCTGACAGTTCAGAAAAAAAAGGAAGAAAAG